TAAACGGAAGCCATGAAATAATTGAGAAGGAAGATATAGAGGATCCGGTGAGTTCATTTCTTTAGTTATTATTATTGTATATGTTAAAAGCTTATGAAAACGTGCTCAATACTTTTAATTAAATTTATTCTTCTAGATGGATGAAGTTGTCAATATTCTTAATTCGCATCTAACATCATTACAATGGATAGATTCGACAGTTAATCAACTTACTCAAAACGTTCATAATGCAAAATTGCTACTTACTCAGACTCAAAGTGAGTTAAATTCTCGACAACAGCAAAATGGTACCGGTAGTAGTTCTGGATAAAGTTTAAAAAATTCCAAGTTTAAGGTTAGACTTATAATTCATAATTTCTTTAAACATTACTCATTAGTAAGAAGTGATCAAAAATGAGCTATTACTTTATAAAAGAATGAATCATAAAGGATTTCAATTGTTTAAGGATATTACGAGTGTAATATAACATTCATTTGTAACGTACATAAAAAAATGGTTTTAACTTTATTTTAGTATTATACCCTTGGAATGATCCAATGTCCTAGAGTCAGTGCTCTGTCGTTTCATTTGACAGATCCGATTAGATTATTTTAGGTTCTTTATAAAATAAAGATAACTATTTTCAATTTTTTATTTTTATTTTTTTTTTTAAAAAAAAAAATCAAATGTCAGCACCAATCAGTCGTTCAGGTTTACAGAACGAAGTAATAAATTTTTATCGAAAGTGTTGTAGAGCTATACGAAAAAAACCTATCGTAATCTTTCAATTTTCAAAGAATGAATTTATTTAATATACAATTTATCTCATCTCGGTTTAGTAATTCGATTGCAAAATGCTTTTTTTTCTTTAGGAATCACGATATAGATTTCAACAATTTGTTAGATCACAATTTCGTCAATATGACATATCACCAAGAGATCATAATGCTATAGAATATATGTTGAGAAGAGGTCAAAGACAGCTGGAAGCTTATGAGAGTGATAGCGTTAAAGACGTTAATTTATAAATAAAAAAAAGGAGAGACAAGTTTTAAATTATTTTGGGTTCGAATTGAAAATTTTCTATTTTGATGAATTAATTCTATTAGGGTTGGTGGTAATTAAGTCCCTTTGTAGTAATATTTTTAAACGAAAATAAATCATAATCGTAATTTAGAGTTGTGAAATAATGAATTTTACTCATTTTTTTTTTTTTTTTATTATAATGATAATGATAATAATAATAATAATAATAATAAAGTTCGTATTAGTGCTATGATCTTAAATTACAGTACAAAATGCTAAATATCCAATTGTCTTCTTTTCAAGTACATCACATAAACCACCAGATAAAATTATACAAAATGTATTCTATAAAAAAAGTCCTCCTTTTTTTTTATTATTATTATTTGTAAACTTTTTACAGCTATTCAAATGTTTAATCCTCATCAACACAAACATTCTTTACTTTTATGATATTATTATTATTCTGTTGATGCTTTCTAGGCTCAATGACAACTTCTTTTCTTCCAATTAATTTAGCTTTACGACGCTGTTCTAATAATGCTTTACGTTGAG